CGTGGCTGCTGCTGGTGTTTCTCCTCTCCGACTACGTTGCTGTGGCATTAAAAACAAATCAATATCTACTCTCAAGGCTGTCGGGAAGAAGGTTTTTTAAATCCACTTTGGAAAGAGCTGATAGCAAGGTCAGCAGGGTCAGCGAAGGGAAACACGGCGGCCGGCCCCGGGCCCCAGCAGCCCCGGGCCCCGTACCCCCGCGCGAGCGGGGCGATGCGCTGGGCTCCCGCCGCAGACCCCGGCCTCCCCAGGGGCTCTGCTCTCCGGTCGCACAACGGCAGTGCCGCCATCCGCACGGTGACACAGAACGCGTTCGAAAACGGGCACGCAACGCCCGAGCTCCTCCTGAAACACCGCCAGCCCCTTCCACAGTGACAGCCGAGTGAGGTACAGGAGCAGGGTGGAGGGGCAGGTTTGCTGCGGCCGTCTCTGTTCTCCAGTCCCTGCGCGGCGCTGACAACGCTGAATCTTACAAAGTTGCGATGTGTGTGTTGTTGCTTTTTCTTAAATCAGCTGATCAATCTTGCCAGCTACACTCGTTTAATTTCTGTGGGCATTGCAGCGATCTGCCTGTTCCTTGGTTCTAAGCAGGACGTTGTAGGAGCTTGTGTGCTGTTACTCTTTGCTGATTTACAAAATAAGAAACTTTAAGAACGTTACCATTTTCTTATAAATACCTTAAAAAAATCAGTTTCTTTCTTCAATCAATATGTCCAATAACTACAAAAAAACACGTGGAACCTCCCAAAATAGATTAATAGAGTATGTAGAGAAATCTGCTAGCCCGCGAGGAAAGAACTGTAAATATTGCTGACTTGATAACAACTGAAGTGGTTTTTCAGAAAGCCACGGGAAACAATCTGACTTCTGACCATGCAGTGATTAAAAAATGTGTGTTGGAAAGAAAGTGTCGGCATTTCACCTCAAAGGACCATAACTGAGTTTCCAACATAGTTTTCATCCACTACAAGTGCACAAACTGTTTATAGCATGCGCAAAAAGAAAGCTGTGACTGATCTTTTTCATCCCACACTCAAAACAAAGATCGTTACCTGGGGTTATGCTGAGCAGGGCTTGGAGATTAGTGTTCTCAGTGTATCTACAATACTTTGAGGCGAAGGCTTCCTCGGCCTCTGCGGTACCCATGGAGGAGGCATTCATAGAATCGTAGAATCACAGAATGGTTTGGGTTGGAAGGGACCTTACAGATCATCTGGTTCCAACCCCCCTGCCATGAGCAGGGACATCTTCCACTAGACCAGGTTGCTCAGAGCTCCATCCAACCTGGCCTTGAACGCTTCCAGGGAGGGGGCAGCCACAGCTTCTCTGGGCAACCTGTTCCAGTGTCTCACCACCCTCATGGTGAAGAATTTCTTCCTAATCTCTAATCTAAATCTGCCTCCATTTAGTTTAGAGCCATTCCCCCTTGTCCTATCGCTACAGACCCTTGTGAAAAGTCCCTGTAGGCCCCTTCAGCTACTGGAAGGATTAATTCATCAATGTGCTCATGGGTGCGTGGAAACAGGGCGGGCACGCACACACCAGCGCTCTCCGGCCTTCCCAGCCCCTGGGCGGGAGGTTAGATAACCACAAGACAAGAGAAAATCAAACAAACTGTGTTGCGCGCCGGCACAGAGCTTGGCGAAGGCGGGGGTGCTGAAGGCTGGCCAGCAGATTTGAGCAGCGGAGATGAGGAGGACCGTATCCACCACAGTCGGTGGGCCCCAGCTGGTGGCCAGCTGAGCGCTGCCAGCACACTTCTTCCAGCTGCTGGCAAGGCTGCTCCTCCCCGAGGGCAAGCAGAGAGGCCAAGTCCACAAAATCAACCTTCTCATGGCAGCTCTGGCCTGAGCTCTGACACGGGAGGCCCTGAACCGGATGCAGGGAACATGGTGCTTTCAGCAGAGACCAGCCGAGATCTGCTGCCGAGATTGTCTTACCTAAATTCAGCGGCCGTTACAGCTCCTCGGTGCCTTTCTTCCCAGAGAACGCTATGGAGAAGCAGGACTGCAGGGAAGCCGTACGGCATGGCAGGAGAACAAGGGAGGGCTGTGTCCGGCTGCCCCTGGTATGTGTAGGACACACAATCCTGTACGGGACTGCATCATAGGGACAGAATCACAGAATCATTGAATGGTAAGGGTTGGAAAGGACCTTAAAGATCACCTGGTTCCAACCCCCCTGCCATAAGCAGGGACATCTTCCACTAGATCAGGTTGGTCAGAGCTCCATCCAGCCTGGCCTTGAACACTTCCAGGGAGGACAACAATGTGTCTTGCTTAATTGCCAAACCAAAGGATGAACAGGTTGACTCCTGAGCTCTAGCTCTTAACAACAGGCTTGTGAGCAGCACTTCGGGGCATCTTCTGCTCCACTGGAAGCATCCACACCATCCCGCAGCAGAGCCTGACACAAGAGCTCCTCTGTGGGAGGGATTTCGTGCCAGCTTGTGGTCTTCTCCATTCCACCGTCTTCTGTGCCATGTGGGAGGAATACCCAACACACCCTCCGGACAGCGAGGGCTTCGGATGCCAGCACACTGAGCTGTCTCAGAAGCTTGTAAACAGTTTGAGCCTTTCTTGCATGACACGGGCACGAAGTGTGGCCTGAGGCGTCACTTCTGCAGATGCTGTCACGGGTCTCGTGACTAGGTCTCACTGTGACCAGTCTAGACAGTAACAGGGGGGTGACAGTGACTATCGGGTGACTCTGCGTACTTTAATGAAGGATGAGGCAAAATATTTGCATGCTTGTCACAAGTGTCAGGGAGTCCAGGGGACAGAGTGACGTCAAGAGAGCTTAATACTTATTTATGAGATCGGCCTTCACCAGCTTACACTTGACGTGAGGATAAAGAGCCTCCTGCCCCTCTCTGAGATGGGCAGCTACTGTCACAGGGTCTTTGGCAAAACCCTTGGGAGCTTAGGACATCAAATCAGTGGCCCTGGTCCACTGCACGCCTGAAGACATAGCCTGAGGCTACGGTACGGAAATAGGCATCAAGGAGGCCAAGAGGCAAACCAGGGCCTTTGTTGAGGAAATAGCATTCTCACAGCTAAAAGCATCATCCTGAGCAAATAAACCTGTTCAGCTTTGGTCGGTGTAATGAGTTACTAGTCTCTATTGTTCTGATGCACTAAGAAATAGCAGCAATAAAAAACCCTTCCCTAAACCAAGAAGAGACCAATTCTGTATCCTGTGTGGCCAGAAGAAGAGTGACTTCATGGTGGAACAAGTTTTGGTGGCAGACATCTTTGAAAAGGGGTGGCAAAAGAGAATTGTGGTACGGTAGAGTAACTAGAAGCTGTAACCGGGCATGCAGGAGAAGCTGCGAGCAAGCAGAGGACAGCAAATTGCCAGGACTCGTACTAACACATATCTGACAACCTTCTTACTTGGGGCAGTTGTGTCCCCCAGGGGTAGGGGAGGTATCGCCCTCTCCGATAGCAGCAGCCCTGCTGCGTTACGCATTGCCATGGCAAACCAAGGTGTGGCTTGCATGCACAAGGAAATAAGGTCTGCTGCTCTCCCAGTTCTGCAGGGGATTACCTGGCTCCGAACTGCCATTTGATAACCATTTGGTCTGCCTTAGCTTCTTTTTTTTTTCCTTTGAGCTTTGTTATTTAAATCTTTCCATTTCTCTTTTTTTTTTCTTTCTAGGACTTCTAAAAGTACTGTAGTACTTTTATATATTGGTTCGCTGAATTTTAGTTACTTGGGACAGCTTAATTTTAAGACTCTCACAGCAATGCCAGAAGCCTTTGAACTGTATGAAATCTGGAAGAGAGGTAATGCCACCACCTCTTTTGGTAGAGCAATGAATGTGTTCTGGGAGCAGCTTCATGCTTCTTTCCTGGCAGGCTGCTTGCTTCAGCCTCGGGTGGACAAGGCCGGGCTTCTACCAGCTCTGGTTTGGAGGGGAACAGATGACGTCTGCTTTCGCCATGATACCACCACTCATATTTGGCCTGGGGGCAAATGAGGAACAAGTTGAAAGCTTGCGGGTTAGAATTAAGGGACAGGTTCATAAGGGTGACATTACAGTCGGTGTGTACTACAGGCCACCTGACCAGGAGGAGGAGGTTGATGAGGCCTTCTACAGGCAGCTGCAAGCAGCCTCACAGTCACAGGCCCTGGTTCTCATGGGGGACTTCAACCACCCTGACATCAGCTGGGAAGACCATA